TTATTGCACACCTGCTCATGGCCAACATATCCTGCCCAATGACCACAAGGTCAGGAGCTAAGACATAAAGAGAGAGATATAAAACTGCAAGATATTCTCTAAACCCACTAAAATTAGGACCAATTTTTTCCCCTCTTTTATTGTCAGGAGTACATTAATAGGCCTTAATTGCCCGAGTCTGGAGCCTACATTAACACCCACACCCAATGCCTGGAGCCTCTACCCACACCCTCTGGCCAGGAGCTCCATTTAAGCTCAGGGTTGGAAATTCAATCCTTACTTGAGCTCTGATGTGGGTGTGCCTGTTCCCAGCCTTGTTCCTGAGCTGTTGCTTGGATTTCCTGGATTGACTTTGGCGCTGGCTCATTACCTTGTCTTCACTTGATGATTATTGTACTGTTGGTAAGTCCCATTGCTCATCATCCTTCTCTGCTCTTCCGGTGCTGTGGGACTGTTCCCTGTGGGTGAGGTCATTGGTTTACCTGTGTGGTGGCTGCCCTCAGCTCCTGTCTTTTCTTCCTTTAGAGAACAGCTCTGTTCTTATATACCATAGTCAAATGCCTTCACTCACGTTCTGAGCTCCAAATGTCTGTGTGCCCTGTTCAAACACTTGCATTTAAGCCACATGTGGCTCATCCTGCACCTAGCACAATGTTTCTTTCCTTCCCATTCTGTTAATGCCGCACATTTATGTCAGTGCTGCAGCATGGCTTTGCAGGAACAAATTATATTACATGTTCCTGAGAAGACTTTAAGAAAGAGCAACGCAGCAGACTCCCCTCCTCCACATACAGGGAGGGGAAATAAGCCAAGGCAGGATGCTTTCAAAAGTAGAGGGAGATGTAGGAGCAGAGGAATGCAAAGCTGCTCTGCTACTTGGCCAAAGGCCTACTGTTTCCAGTAAGCGGGGACAAAGAAGATATATATCTTCTTTGTTACAGAAGGGTTATATTAAAGGTCAATAGGAATAGGATTGAAGGGTAAACAAGGAACTACAAAGCCAATTGACGTTGAAGCAAATAGTAAATAGTAGGCTCAGAATGCAAGCTGAAGGAACAATGGCTACTTGAGAAAGACATATCTTGATTGAAAATGTGAAATCTCCCTCCCAGAGGAGGGAGACTACTTGGCACCTCTGACAAAGATCTGGGCATGAGGACTCAGTGGCTCCCTTCAGAGACATAGAAGGTGTTGCTGATATTTTGTCGACAGCAGATGTTCGTTGTTGCTCCAATATCTCATGAGATCTCTCCTCTTGGCTTATGGTCTCTGTCGTTCTTGCAGCCTGCTCTGTTCCAAGCCTTTCTTTCCAGTTGCCAGCTCATCTGCTCAATTTTCATGGCGTGTGATTCGGTAAGGTTCATCTCTTGACACTTTTCCTGTGCAAATATGACTCAAAATCTGCTTCCTCTTCCATCTAGGAGTCTTCCACACTCCCATAATGCAGGTAAGGGGGAAAAAATAGGAACAACCAAATAAATTGAATGACCGGAATATCTGCTATGATCCAAAGGGTTTCTGCATTCAGCCCTGGTCTGTGCCATGGTTTAGCCCAAAGGTGAGAGCTACCAAGATGGTAGCTCTTGGTACCTAGAGCAGGACCTAGAGCACATGATCAATACAGAGAATCCAAAAGAGTTGGGTTTGTTTCTTCTGCAGAAGAGACAGCAAAGGATGATGAAATAGCAGTTTAGGATCACTTGAAGGTCAGCAGTAAAGATGACAGAGCCAAAAGCTTCTTGAGAGGGTTAGGATAGATAACAAGGCAATCAGATAGGCCCTGCACCTTATATTGTTCCTCATGCCTCCATATGTTCATCTTGGACATCTTCTACAGTTAAGGCCAATCATACCATTACAGATGTCCAAAAATTCATCCATAATCTGCATCCATGAAAACAACGGGTCCATGGCATCGAAAGCATCTTCATCAGGCTGAATCTGAACTGGTGACTGTGAGTTTGGCCTTGTAGGTCTCAGGAAGTCTGCTTTTCCCCAGGAGTGCACCAGTGAAAAACACTTCTCTAAGGGAAGACTTAGTCCTGAAAACAAATGCACTGCAGGCTAACTTAAAGTTTTTCTGAAAACAAACATTATTTTAATCACCAGTATTAAATACCAGAAATGTAGGTTCACTGGTGTTATTTATCCAAGCTGATGTTAAGCAGACTCCTTGCAAGCCATCTCTCTCCAGAGGCCGTATTATCTTCTGCTCCCTACTTCAACCTCGTACTCGCACATGCTGTGCCCTGTCCTGGGACAATGTCTCGCATTGCACTCTTTGATCCTGAAGTTTTCATTATTGCAAGTGGTTTACAGTGACTTCATGAATGTTGCCCCATCCAGTTCTTAAGAGACCCTTCCCCACTACCAGTATACGAAGACTGTGTTTCACTTTCTCCAAGTTCAGGCAGGAGGTAATCCACAGAGTTGCTGAGGTGGGAAGGGATGTCTTCTTCCTCATGTATTCCAGCCCCCTGCTCAAGCAGGTTCAGCTAGAGCAGGTTGTCAAGGACAATATCAAGTCAGGTTTTGGATATCTCCAAGCATGGAGACTCTACAACCTCTGTGGGCAGCCTGTTCCTGTGTTTGACCACCCTCACAGTAAAAAAAAAAGTGTTTTCTTGTTTTCCATATGCTCCCCATTCCTAGACAGCATTTAAGAGT